AGGCGTCAAGCACATTAGTCAACGGCACAACATTGGGAACGGCGGGTGAACGATCTATCAGGATTTAACTAAACAAGCCTCAGTGAGTCATAATATCGCCCGCACAACAGCCTATATACCAACCACATGTTGAAGGGACTCATCTTCAGTCGTATCTCGGATGACATCATCTGTAGACAAATGTATGTATTTGTGCGAGAGATTTCTCGCATCGTCGAGAAATAACAAACTTATTTATGTGGACGAGCCATTTCGTTTACATTCATGTGTCCATCTTCACTCCTGTTTAACGAACAGCCATAGCCCTATGTACATGTAAGCAACGTAAAGTAGCTAACAAGGCGAATGGTAGATACTGCCCGCTATCAAGGCTGTAGTGTTGTGAGTGGGAAGCAACTGTTGTTCGTTTGTCTCAGAAGCGGTCCCAATGACAAAGTTGACCAATGCTCACCTCGAAGTGGATGATGGTCCAGATTAGGATTGCGATACGCAACCCATACCTTAAAACACTCCCACTTAGACAGATAACGGGTAAGTTACCGCCCACCTGATAGCTTAGACGATTGAGCGGTTTGTGTGTCTAGACGTTTTGACTTCCATCTGATAGCTCAACTGAGATAGGTATTCTTCAAAAGCGTTGGTAGGTATGTTGCATTCAATTTATTAACCATGTGCTTGCATGCTAAGTCTCTTTATTTCAGGTGGTGGGTTTTCTATATGGTCCTAATGCTATTTTAATGTCTACCTGAACTATCTTCTATAAACTTGCACACGTCACTTAAGCTAATTGTAGTTAACTGCAATAACAATTGCGCGTTTGTGGCATTTTCTTAAAACATATTTCCTGACGTCTTGAACCTTTCGTGGATTCTTTGGCAAGCAATTTATTTCATATGCTCATTTAGTGTAGAGTTATGTCACAATATCTGTAGGCATTATTTGATTCATCTTATTCGATATCAACATTTCAATTGATTGGCTGTTGCTTGATATCCCAAGTGTGGCTGCGCCTAATGAGCAGGTTGACAAGGTGCCCGCCTGTCAATTACCCACTACCTCGTCCATACTGGCTCCAGAAGACAGTTGGTCGTTGCTGGAGGGGACGGGGTGCACGGTCCTCGTGGCCGTGTTAGACTCGAAGAGTGGTTCCATGCACTCTGTGTGGAGCGGACTACGATCCAGCCACCGCCTTCGTGTGTGCTTGATTCCTTGGGGAATCAAGCGTGCTTGTGCTTGCCTGTGAAGGAGTGTGGGCCGGCTTCGTTGATGAAACCTGGCGCCCATCCACATGCATCCCGGTCTAATTCCTTCAGATTCACACTGGGTATGGGGGGTGTGGTTGGAGCTGTGGGTGGCGTAACTCAAACCACCCATGGTCCCTCAATAGGCGTAGGCTTCCTTTGGCTGGCCACAGTGACAGGCAAATCCGAAACCGGATGCTGCCAACCATGTAATTTCAACAGTCTAGCAACTAGACATAGAGCCAACAAAGCCATGGAGATTAGCAGATAAGGCGAATTCAATGCGTCATAATCATGACATCGTAGTTGAAGGTGAGCAACACATTTAAGCTACTATGCCACAGGAAGAAACGAATGTTTTGACAAGTAGAACAAAACACCTTTAGTTTGTTTTTCACACGCCGATTTTTCTCTTTTTTGTCATTTTCAATGTTGGAAGTATCAAACATGTGAATCAATACAATTCTACACACAATTCTTCCACTGATTCCGGTTGCGGGCCATGTCTTCACGAGTGTTAAGACATTGGCACTCCTCACCTTTGGGTCCCCATCCTGGAAGACGTACGGGTCCAACAGCGACTAGACACGGCGTCAGCGATTTCATGTGTTGCAGCCATGTAGAACGCTGACCACCACGCGGTCGCCTCCAGCTAGGTGCTTGAGGAGCGAATAGAGCGCGACGCGATAGACGCTCAAGTGCCATGCGTAGGACGTGACCAAGCCATCACAACTGGCGCAGCAAAAGCAATTTGTTGAATGGAATACTCGCATTCCCCAAAATGCGACGTCGAACGTCATTACTTTTAACTCGATATTGCCACCAAACACGAGCAATACTCCTTAAGCAACCGTTATCGAAGGCAGAAAGACGACGCATATCTTCCACGCGAATCGGCCAGGATTCGCTCCCATACAACACTGAGCTAACAGATGCGTTGCAAACGCGGCCCCTTAGAGAGAAAGACGTCACGACGACGCCACAAGTGCCTCAAATTGGCAAATGTTGATCGGGCTTTAGCGATGCGAAGAGAAACTCCTTTGCCGTCAGCAGAAACACAGCTCCCAAGGTAGACGAAACTATCTACCTGTTCAAGCTGTGCACCTTTGAAAGTGAGCACCGGAGCAGGTGTAAGCCAATCCTGGAGCAGTAGTTTACACTTCGATGGGGCGAAGCACATGCCATAGTTAGATGCTGCAAGCGCCAAACGAGCCAGAATGACTTGCATACCCTGAGGATCGTCACCAAGTAAGGCGATATCATCAGCATAATCTAAGTCGATCGCGCGCTCACTCGGTAGAAGCTCTAGGCCATAATTTTGGAAACCTTCTAGAGCACTCGACAGAAGTTGTAGAGGAATGGGGACATAGGGCAGCCGTCGCACGCCGCTATTGACAGCGAATTGCGAGGAAAGCTTGCCATAGACCCTCACACTGCAGGAGGTATGAAGGCAAAGCGCTCGTAACATGGTGGTATATTTCTCTGGCACCCCGTTCTTTAGCAAGCAACGCCATGAAGCAGGTCAATCAACGGAGTTAAAAGCGGCAAGTATATCTAGGAATGCAACGATAGTGGGCCTGTGATAAATGTGACGATGTTCGAGGAGCTGGCGGAGCGTGAAGATTTGATCCACGCATCCGCGGCCGGGATGGAAACCAGCTTGTTCTTCACGGTAGGATGATTCACGTATTGGGGATAATCTACGGAGCAGAATGGATGCCAATAGCTTGGAGGCAACCGAAATAAGACTAATCCCGCAATGATTTACACATGAAGTGCGAGCACCTTTCTTGAAAATCGGAACAATAACTGGTTCGCCCCAAGAGGAAGGCACTTTCTCTTCATGCCAGATTTTTGCGAACAGCGAGGTCAGCTGGTTAATGATTGGCACGCCGCCGTACTTGAACAGCTCCAGAGGAAGTTCGTCTGAGCCGGCAGCCTTGAACCGCTTCAAGCGCCGAATCTCGAGGCAGACTTCCGCGTCGCTGGGTGGATTCGCGATCCTTGCGTAGGCTTTGGTTGAGTAAAACGGCGCTGCTCGTTGCAATCTTATTCCGCCAGGATATCTTTACGGCGTTCGAACAGCTCCAGAGAACGAGCAGAGATCCAAGCCTTTAAGGAGCGTGGAGCTAAACCGTAGTTGGACTGTGCGGAAATAGTCATTGCTTTCTGTGTACAACGCCAGTGTTTCTCCACGTCTTGCGATGGATTACAACTGAGTGCGTATGCCGTTGAAGAATGATAGTTCGCCTGGACAGAAAAATCAGTTAATCTGTTTACATCAATCTTGCGGTGCTTCGTGTTTCGGGATCCTCTAAAACACATACAGATTTTCGCGCAGACCAGTACATGATCTGAGTCAACGAAGGTGGACAAAAAGAACCTACAGTCCAGTACGCCGCCACGCCATCTGAAGCTAACTGCAATATGATTAATATAAGATCACGGTTGTGTTGGCGAATGGGACGCCACGTTGCGGAACGCTTCTTCGTACGCCTAAAGTTAGTGCTCGAGAGAAATAGATGGTTGTTTTCGCACAATACGAGAAGCCTCTCTCCGTTATCAGAGCGGTTCTCATCGAGTGCGTGGTGACCACCAAGTGGCGTTCGTATAGTAACAGGCATTAAAATCCCCAGTAAGGACAACGACATCCGACTTTTTAGCATTAGTCAAGAACTGGTGTAAATCCCGGTAGAATTCGTCCTTGACCGAGGCGCCACTGTAGTCAGTCGGAGCGTACACGGAGATCACAAACAAGTTGTCTCTCTTCGCGGCGCTTGTTGACTCTACATGAACCCCGAAGCTGAACTGCACAGAATTGGCTGTTAATCAGGAACTAGTCCAACAGTGCCGCCTCGGCCTTGCCACTTAGTGCTATACCTACACCAGCCAAGCCCGCTGAGGCTGCTTCTGGATCTCCAGAAAGACGCAGGTGATATCTGGCTTTGTGGTCAGTGAGGGATGTCAATGTAAGCACAGTGTTGGGATCTTGCAATCGGGTTTCTGAAAGGCAGCAGACATCTATATCGAGGGATTCTAGGGTGCGCGCTAGACCGGCTTGCTGTCTAATCTGCATGAGTGTCCAAACGTTGAAGCACGACAGACGGAACGAGGATCGGCAACAAAGGAGAGCCATAGGTTGAACTCTGTGGTTCGCGGCGCAACCGGAATAGCAGCCAGATTGTGGAAAACATGAATCGGGTAATGGAAAGTAAGAATTGTCAGCAAACAAACGATTGGCGTGTGATGAAGTCGCGTGAATGTGAGAAGCAGAAACAGTAGCTGATGAGCACGTTGTAGTACAGTACATTGGTTTTGTGAGAGGGCGTGATATTGAAGGTGCAAAAAAGCACCACGCAGCATAGCTCAACGAATCGCTGAGGCAAGCAAGCCATCGCATCACGGTAATGTCTAGCCTCAGTGCAATGGTAGGTACACCACAGCAGATCGCTTAGGCATATAAACCATCGTGCCAACGTCAATGCGATAGGTTTAGTCATCTATTGGATAGTAAAACAATGTGTGGAACTTTTCCTTGGGAAATAAGACCCTGTACAGTTGGGTCAAGAACACAGTTGCGCAAAACTGGAAATTAATCTAGAAAACCTATTAGTACCGTTTGCAGCGTCAATCGATTTAGGGAGAAATGGAAGCTTCGTTCCAGGTGAAAAGTCATGCCTCAAAAGAAACGATGAGTTGTCACGCGGTAAATAAAGATGGGAACTGACGAAATAAATTCCTGGCACTTAAAAAACTCACTTATGGAGCACAAAACTTTCTCTGCAAAGTTATACACAGCCCATACATTTGGGGCCCAGTAAGTATGTGTCAGACCGCGGCCAAAAGGGAACAATCGAAGGTATAGTTGGTTCAAATGACTCTGAAGTATTAAATCAATATTTGTGTACAAACCTTTGAATAGTACGGCCCAAGTGAAAGAGCCATAACCGAAAAGACTGTCAAGCCCAATGCGAGCAGCTTGATAAGAACTCCAGAAAAGCGACGTCCAGCAGAAGCTAAAAGGAGTTCGCTAAATAATGAGACTAACCGAAGACATAGTTAAACAAAAAGTAGATAAAATAAGCCGGAACAACATATATGAAAATATGCTTCATGTTCAGAAGCATAGTGAATCCAAAGGCGGCAAGAATAAATTGTTCCTGGGGGTCTCATCTTTAAAAATGCAACTTACCTCAATAAGTAGCGATCCAGACAAAAACAAGATGCCAAACAAAAAGCCATTATACTGAAAGTGAATATCTGCAGAAACGAGTAAGATGTACAAGCAGCAGGAACCAAAATTCACTCTACCAAACATGGAAAATAGATGTAATCAGTTTGGTGAGAGTTCAAAACCAGTTACCCAACCGTGATGTGTCTGAAAGGTACCTGTTAAACGAATGCTGGATTGTGCGTATAAATAAGAGTAACACTAGTCAGTTTCAATGGTGGTTAAATTGTGAAGAGGCTATAAAAGTGCTGTCAGGAAGCTACTTGAGTGCAAGTAGAAGATAGAAGCAGGCGAGCGTGCGGATTTGACAAAGCGATAAACAAATCTGGGTACGGTATTTTAGAGCCGAGCATAAGGCTCGAACACGTATTCAACTGAAAGCCCAAGCTAACTGACGATATTAAAAGTGACTCTACTTCTTATGCACACATATTGTCAGTGTTCCATGTTACCCCGGGTCTTCTTGTTCTACTGCGTCTCATCTGTGTGCATCACGCTTTCGTTTGTCCCAACGCTCAGGTAAATACGATATTGAGGCACGTTCACTATTGTAGTCACCACGGATACAGTCCGCTGTGTTCGAATTTATTCGCTTCCTGAGATAGGCCCTTGCTCACGAGCCCACATCATGGGATTCATTAGAGTGTACAGAGAAGGGAGATCCTTTGTCAGCTCCATTACTTCCAGATAGTTGTGGATGCCACGATTGGTTGAGAAACGGGATTCCAAAGGGAAGCGTTGCAGTTGCATTGAAAAAAGCAAGACCCCTGTATACTCCGCAGACGGAAAAGCAAGCCATTTAAAACATCCCTCCGTGTGTGTATCGACGACATACTTGTATAGAGAGCTCCAGCCGTTTACCACAATGGTAGTTAAAGCAAGTTCGGAATATACTCTAAGTCTCCGCGGTTTAAATAGTATCCAGCGATGCCCACGTGTCACGCCCTCAGAGCTTAGATAAAAGAACCCTGGAAGGTTAGTACCCAGATCTGCTCTTAGAATAAGTCGAGAGAAAATCAGATCTCCACGGCGGCGGCGATAATCCAGGGAGAACAGGTTCATCCACTGAAGCCGAAGAGGATAAGGCAGGTTCCGCAACTTCAAGGCACACTTCGATCCGTGTCGCTGGTCTTCTCAATCAGACTGCATGCGGTCTCCGTGAAAGGATAGGCGGCAGACAATCCGTACTCAAAAATCGGCCTCACATGGGAGGCAAACAGAAGATCTCTGGCGTTAATCGGGAAAAGGCTCTTAGTATAGCACGGAATACCTTGCTGGCAGAAACAACCCTCTTCAAGGTGTACTGAGTTGATCTTAAATCAGGAGACAAGTATGTCAAGATCCCTCTCTTGACAAGCATTTTGTGGAGGAACCCACCAATATGATACGCCCCAAGGGTTCAGAAGCATCAATTGAAAAAGGGAGCATTTGTCGCGATTCAATGGCAATTGGCACTTGGCTGACCAGTCGTGCAGTAGACCGAGCAACAATTGTAGTCTATCGGCATCATCCTGGACTGGATAGCTCCATCCATAGCTTCACGTCAGCCGCATGGTTAAATAATCCACCTGAAGCGTGGTGGGTAAGTCGTTGATTAAAATTCTAATGAGTTCAGGTTAAACGATTAAAGCTTGTGGAACATCACTAGTCAAAGCAGTAAAACTGGCACTTAATAACCCCATAAAGACAAGCAAAGATGGCACTTATGTGACTGCGTTCAAATAAGGTGACATAAATACTTGGTTAATAAATTCAAAGGATACGATCCACAAGCACTAATCCGAAGTTGAAGGCAAAAAGAACAAAGGTGAGAGGCAGACGGCGTTTCGATATGCAGTTGCCACAAAGTCTTGCGAAGGCACCCCATAGCCTGAAGTAAGAAATTAAGTAAGTGACTAACCTCCAAAGAGAAAAGAATAGCATAGTTTCTGAGACCAATACAGTAGACCGCATAAAAGCGATGGTGCGCAAGGAAGAGTATGGGAGTGCCGTTATAGTAACCATTTCGGGATCAACGATAGCAGCAACATGGGAAAGAACCCATTGAAACCAAGCGAAAAACGGTGGGTAATCTAGTGTCCATTTCGAGGTAGACTGTATAATCGAGAAAGAATGAAAATTACCTCAAAGTACCACTCCGAGGCCGGCAATGAATGGGTTAATGCTATCCAGTTACGATGAACCTCAAGGTCAGTAGAGTGGCTGCAAAGATTAGGAGCTTATAAACTCACTATGAGAAGAAAAAGACGCCCTTCAAAGCAGCAGCCGCAAGTGTGATCAACAGCAAGAGCATCATTGTAGTATGCTTCCGGTCGCGGAATTCGAGGGCTTCCGCGTTTAGCGTGTACGTAGGTTGTAATAGACCTGAGGATCTGAAATGGAAAGTAAAGACCTCGTAGGTGGCTGGATGTTCAAATCACAACCACCTAGTAAGTGACTACAGTAAACAGAAAGTAGGTTAAAAAAAGGAAGAATCAGTGGCCGTCTACCTGAGGTACAACGATTTCCTTACCTTAGGGATCACTGCAAGGTCAAGCTCGGACCTGCTACATTAGCTATCCTCCCCGTTGACAGGTGTTGTACTCAGCGCCTGCAGTAGCCCTAGTCGGTCTCAACTTGCTGACGTGAAGAATAACGGATGAGTACAGCGTGCTTGGTTCGAGAGATTCTGCGACAAGCAGTGTGGTCACAGAAAAGTCAATAATAGCCTCAAGGACAACGATCCAGCTTCAGGGACTGCTGTCGGGACCAGGCAGGATCGATGAATATGTAATATGCGTCTGGTTGAAAATCCGCTGACGCGCAACACAAGCGATGAGCCCATTGTGCTCATCAACACCATCAGTACACGTTAGCTGAGGGTGAGAAACACACCTCAGCTAATGTGCCGCAATACAAAAAGACAAGAAACTATAAATTACACTACAAATTACACTGTAAAATATACGAGATTAAATATTATAGTATGCGTTTTCATGAGACCGATAATGGAGGGGGAACTAGAGGGGATGGACAAAGAAACACAACACAAAGGCCATTGGGGCCGGCGCTTCGCCATATCAGCAAGTGTGTCCAACCAAACGTGTTCATTGTCCTCAGGACCCAAGCCGGGCAGTCGTGATGTACCAACCAACGCCACTTTCGAAGTGAGGGTTTTCATTCCTCTCGACCAAGTCATCGCTTGGCCTCCCCTCCTATTCTTCCAACCACACCCTCGGTGCGCAAACAATACACGTCGGGGGAGTCGGGGTGCTGGCATGCGCAACACGTGGGCCCAGGCATCGGAGCCTGCTGCGTGAGATAATGGTGCTGAGCGGTTCATTCGCTATTCGTGCACCAAATACGCGACGCCGAAAACGCTCATTGCTCACACGGTGCTTCCATCAGACATGAGCTGAGCTGCGAAGGCAGCGATGATTGAACGTGGCTAGCCTCTTTATGTCTGTCGACCTGATGGGCCAGGTTTCACAACCTTATGAGAGATTTGAAAACACGGCCGCGTTATAAACTCTGTCCTTCGTGGCGAGAGTAATGTCGCGTCTGCATCACAGGTGGCGGAAATTGGCAAAAGCACCTCGAGCTTTTGCTATACGGTTCGTAACCTCATCTTCTTCACATTGTGCACTGACGACTGGTTCAGGTAAATTGTTTCAGTCCATCATCACACTGGTGGACAAGGTAACATCGGAATGAACTCGGAGCCTCCTAGGCTTAAACAGTTTCCAAGAGTGACCTCGTGTCGAATTATCAACTCTGAGTTGAAAGAACTCCTTGAGTTCATTTCCTATCATCCAACGCAGTATGCGTCTGGTGTATATCAGATCACCACGACGACGACGATAATCCAAGGAAAACGTGTTCATCGTTCGAAGTCGTTGGGTGTAGGACAAATCCCGGATCACAGATCGATTTCGAGCCTCGTTGTCTTGAGACCAAGTTCGGTCTTTGTGAGAGGATAAACAGCAGGCGAACCATATTCGAGGATAGGGCGTACACGGGAAGTAAAAGGGAGCCTGAAGGCCTCAGTAGTCATGGGGCAAAAGATCTCCCTATGGCACAAAACACCCTATTAGCAGCCGCTACCCTCCACAAGGTGTCCTGGGTTGTGCGTAAATCAGGAGACACAAGTACATCAAGGTCCTTCTCACAAGCAGCGTTCCTGAGCAAGAAAGCACCAAGGTGATAAACCCCGAAGGGGTACGGAGCACCGATAGGGAGGACAGAGAACTTATCATAATTGATGGGCAGTTGCCACTCCAATGCCCAGCTGTGCAGCCGGTCTATTTTCGCTTGCAGTCGGTCAGCATCGTCGAGTTCGAACATCGCTAGTCATAGCTTTAAATCGTCAGCATATGGTAGGCAATCCGTTCGGAACTCTGATGGAAGGTCGTTGATGAATAATTTAAACAACTCAGGACCGAGGATGGAGCCTTGCGAAAATCCACTGGTCATCAGGACGGACTCGGAGTAAGTTTCATTTACCTCTACATGCATACTCCGGCCATTCAAAAAATCAGCAATCCAAGGGAGCCTCCCCAGAAACACCAATTCTCCGAAGTCTAAGGAGAAGCCGTTCGTGCGGGACTTTGTCAAATGCTTTTCTGAAGTCGACAAAGATGCCGTTTAGGCAATTGTCAGCATCCAACGATTTAGCCCATTTTTCTCTGGCCACAAGCAGGTTGGAGGCACACGAGCGTGCACTCCGGAAGCCATGCTGCGCGGGAGAGATGACATTCACGTTATCAAGATGGCGATTCAAGGCTCTCTTGAGAATTCTCTCCATGATTTTACACACTATGGATGTTAAACAAATCGGCCGATAGTTCCCAGGATTCTGACGTGTCCGGGGTGCCAGGGAGGAGTAGCACCTCTGGTAGGGGACCTGTCTTACCCTCCGGGGTAGTCCGCCTATCTTTGGTCTCCATCTGTCACCCAGCTCTCACCTGTGGCTCCAAGAAGCTGCTTGCACGCGGCAGCGGCCACACTCCCGTTAACCGTCAGGCAAGCCAGCTAAAACAGGTGACGGTAGCCGGGAACACTATTCCTGGTGACTTCGTGCTCACGTGCAACATCAGTCCTGACAACTGGGCGGAGAAGATTTACCCTTGATCTAGCAGACAAAACTTAAGACAATTACTCAGATCCTTGCTGCTTTGCAGGTAGCACTTGGCTGTGCAAAGGCTAGAGGTGAACCCTAGAACAGAAGCCGGATGAGGTTGGGGTCCTCATACGTACCCATAATCCCCACGAAACTTTATGACATGCCCGTTACCTGCGATTCTTCTCATGCTACGGCGTCCCCGGTAGGCGACGCGCTCTTCGCTAACCCAGTGACCAGTGACAAGTAAGCCAGCTGGGTCCGGCAATCCCCGGAAGCCACTATTCATTGGATGCTGGAATGTCAGAACCCTGTTGGATGTCGGCAGCCAAGTGTTGACGATGCGCACACTACATGACTACCAGATCGACATAGCATGCCTATCAGAATCTCGAATACCCGGCTATGGCTCTCGACAAATCAAAGTCCCTGGTGTAGACACCTCATATTGGCTTTACCACAGTGGGCCGGAAGATAATTCTGGCAATCAAGGGGTCGCCATGGCTCTCAGTTGCCAGGCACACTACGCTCTTCTTTCATGGAAGCCAGTATCAGCTAGAATAGCAGTTGCACGCTTCAAAGGTCACCCGATGAATCTGACCATAATCTCTGTCTACGCACCAACCCTACCCTCAGCGGAAAGTGACAAAGACGAATTTTACGATACTCTACAGACAGTGGTGAACCATGTTCCAAAACGCGACATCCTCATTATTGCTGGGGACTGGAATGCACGAACCGGTCCTAGGAACGATCAAACCCGTCACATACTCGGGAGATGCGCCCTTGGAGAGCGCTGTGATAATGGAGACCGCTTGCTCAGCTTCGCTGACCTTAACCAGTTGTGCGCAGCCAATACTCGCTTCCAGCATCCCAGGAAGCAGCTTCTGACGTGGTACTCCAACGATGGTCATACATCAAGCAAGATATATTACATCTCAATCCGATCTAAGTGGATGTCCTCCATCGATGACTATCAAGCGTACAGAGGGGCTGAAATAGGCAATAAAGGTGGTTCGGACCACGTACTCCTGCGCATCAATTTCAGACCCCGCTTGACAAGGCGACGAAAGACCCTTCTACCAAAGCGTATCAACACTGGCCCAGTGGAAAATACTGACTGCTGTCGATCCCTTGGGGCAGCAATAGAAGCAGAACTTTCTGCCAGTGCACCACGCCTAGTAATTGCAGAGGATGAATCTATAGACGCTCGTTGGTCTAGGCTAAAATCGTCAGTTCAACGCGCCGCTTTATCTATCCTGACCTCTACATCTAAGCTTGCAAAGTACTGGATCAATGAAGATACTTTTCGCTTATCTGCTAAAGCGAGAGAAGCACGTCTCACGGATTCCTCAGACTACAGTCGCTTGAGACGTGAGGCAACCCGCTCAGCACGGAATGATCGCAACAGCTACTGGTCTGATAGCGCAGGCAACATGGAAGCTGCATCAAATTCCGGCAATTTAGGTCACCTCTTTCGACTCGTGCGTTTAGCTTCCGGCAAACCCCATTCACCACAGCCGATATTGCGCAATTCGAAAGGCCAAATTATCCCCGATAGGGAAGGAAAACTTTCCAGATGGGTAGAGTATTTTAGCAACCTCCTAAACCGCCCACTACACACCACCGCACCCATTTCAGCATAAATCCAGCCACGATATAACGCGAATCGCTGACCACCATCTCCCACAAAAATTGCAGACATCGTTCGTCAGCTTAAGTAGAAGAAAGCCCCGGAAGCTGAAGGGATTCCAGCGGAAAATTTTAAATCTTTTCTACCAACCCTCCCTGAGCATTTGCACAAGCTCTTTTGTTCGATATGGGAGACCGAAATCTGTCCTTCCTCGTGGAGTACCTCAGTACTACTGCCATTTCCCAAGAAAGGTGACCGAACTGTGTGCAGTAATTATCGCGGGATTAGCCTAATCGATGTGGCTGCCAAAACCTTCACACGAACTTGGCTTTTCCTCTTTGCCAATGAGAGGAAACTGTGAAGTCGCCATAACCAAGGTGGCTTTCGTCCATGCAGAGGCTGCAGTGACCAAATCTTCACTCTACGTCGAGTACTCAAACACCGCTACCAGTGCCAACAGCCTAGGTTTGTGTGCTTCGTTGATTTTCGAGCTGCCTTTGACTCAGTTGACCGCGAAGCACTCTGAAAAATCCTACTTGCCGATGGCGTGCCGGTTAAACTCGTTAACTTGATGAGATCATACTACCGTTGCACGAAGGCCCGGATTCGGGTCTATGGATAAGAAGAAAAGGAATTCGACAT